ATAAAAGTAGATTTTTTTTTTACAAGCGGAACAATTCTGACAGCAATCATTAATCATATGAAGGCATTTTGTGACTACCATTTCTGACAATGTAATTCTAGAAGATAGGAATTGAAAAAGTATCGAATAGCATGTGGAATTCTATTGAACTGTTGTAATCGTTATGACAATTTTATTGCCATTTGTGTGTTATTCTCACGGGAACAATGTTTATATCGATTCAATCTTCAGTACAGTCATTGAAGACATAAAGAGCATTGATCGCAATAGGAAAAGAAAGAGGAAAAGAAAGAGGAAAAGAAAGAGACTTGAGTGGGAAAAGAGAGAAGAAAGAAAAAAGGGAAGAGAGGAAAGATAAGAAAAAGAGAAGGAAAGGTACAAAGAAAGAGAACAAAGAAGAGAAGGAAATGGCGCAAGGGATAAAAAGAAAAGAAGAAAAAAGGGCATAAATAAGAAAAGGGAAAGAAAAAAATGAAATAAAGATGGAATGGAAAAGGTGTGAAGGAAGGGAAGGAGTATATTTAGAAGAATTGGTTCTGTCTCTCATCAAATCACTGAACGAAAATCGACTTGAACGGGCTCTCTTCTAGATCTTTCTGCACTAAGGCAGATATCCCCCCAAGGCTCTATCCTTTGACCTACTCTGTTAATTTTCATCACTGACTTGCCTAGTGGTCTCAGTTCGCAACTCTGTATCTCTGCTGACGATTCAACTATTTACTCCTGTCTTAATCGTAAGTGTGATTAGTTCGATATGGTCAAATGGGAAGCTGATCTCAGAAATGACCTACAATCTACTGTTAATTTCGGTAAGGAATGGCTTGATAATATTAACGCTTCCAAACACAAACTGCTCCCTATAAAGCACGTGAGAGAACCCTTTCTGCCTTCCTGATGGCTAATGCTAACCCCGACGAGAGTGACTCGTTGCGTTTTCGCAGGCTGACCTTTCTCTGTGACATGAAGACGAAAGATTATATTGAATCAAATGCTAAGTCTGCTGCTAGGAAAAGTGGTTCACTGTGTTGACCATGTTCACCATAGTCTATGAATATAGAATACAGCGCAGTACGTAATCTGTTCAATGAAACAACATTAAAGATTAACACTCACGAGTCAAACACTCTACTGAATCTGACTATATCGTCAATACCACCAGCAGCTGTTCCGTAATTCTTCAGTCTTCGATATCAAAGGCTGGCAGTGATATTTAGCCCCCACCCCACCCCATCCCACGAGGGTTACATGTGGCACAAGGCCGGGATTAACGTGGGATCTCCGAGCCCGTAGGCTCGGCCAAAAATATTCCCTATTCGAACGCGTATAAACGGGTTCAGGGGCAGTTCGGCGGAGCCTCGTCCAGGTTATCAAAGGCTGGAAGTGCATATTCGGGAAAAACATGGCCACCTTTATACACGTCGCATTAAATATTTTGAGCCTTCTGATTGGTTAACCCTTCTATTGGTGAACCATAAAATGAGTCAGCTCATTTTGGCTGGCTCGCTTGTACACCATGGTACCCAAAAATTCCAACACACTGTATCGTGCTACCCGATCGTTTTATCTAGAATCTATCTTACATATTTATAAGTCTACCATTCGTACATGATGTGAATATGGCTGCCACATATGTCCTGGTGATTCTGCTATACATTTAGAGATTTTTTCTAAAATTATAAAGTACTAGATTGGCGGCTAGGTCTCATCTTTTAACAGTTGAAATGGCTAGATGTAACCGTAAGTTCTATGTTAATGCTTTCTTCTATCGCACTTCTCGCTCGTGAAACTCACTTCCGACCTCGTGCTTCCAATCAACTTTGCTCTCTAAAAATCTAAATGCAATTTCAATCGTTATCTTCTGTCTTAATTCTTATTCTTTTATTGTTCTGTCTATAAATAGTATTTTTCTCATACTCTCTAACACTTTGGTTAGTTATTTTTTTAGCGGCATCTGAACATCTATAGGTTATTTAATGCCGAAATCTAAATATTTTGAATACGATTTTATAATTTCAACTAAAATAAATTCTATTGTTGGTAATATTACTATAAATATGTATTGTTGGCAATTTTACTATAATTGTGTATTTTTAGTAATTTTTTTATATAAAAATGTATTGCTGGTATTTTTACTATAAAAATATATTTCATAGTGTTTTCTTTTGGTTTGGTGGTTCACTATTTGCTCATAACTAGGACCCTAACAGGGGCTACCACCCTGGGTCAGGACATCATTTTAGAGGTGATTCCTTCAAAACCTCCAGTCTCCCGATCAGAGGCCTTGCTCCCGGGTGTAGTTTATCGTATAAACAATTGACATGGTTGGGTTGAAATGATTCAAATAAAAGTTGAAATGACCAGGAAAAGAAAGAAAGAAGAAAGAAAATAGTGAAGAAAGAGATATGAAAATCAAAGTGAAAAAAATCTATTTACATTGTTCGCACTGTTGTCCACATCTTCATTGTCATATTCACGACGTTTCGGACGTTGTACGCTCTGGTCTCCTTCAGAGTATGTACGTTGGAATTTCGAACCGAACCCTTTATTTCATCCACCTGGATAGACTGTTCTAGTTCCACGTGCCATACCTTCTCTGTATATCTCAGTTTCAGTTATTTCCCTTTAGTAACTCTCCAAGTTTTTTCTGTAGCCAGGTATTGAACTCACAACTCTTTGGGTTAAGTCACTGGATTATTTCAACCAACGCTTTTATCCACTGGGCCGCGTGTCCTTCGGGAGGCTCGGAAATAGAGACAAATATTGAAAAAATCTCTATGAAAGATCGGACAACACAAAAGATAGGTCTATAAAGAAATAACACGAAAAGATTTCTATTAGGGTTTCTTTGTAGAGCGATAATTTATTTTTCCTGGTGTTTTATTATCATTTCGCGTTTCTCACGATCTGGTGCATTCTGCGTTTAAGCCCCCAAAAGAAAAAAAACAAGTCGTATTTCTCTTATCGACAAAGATAAACAATCCTTAGTGGAACGAACAAATCATTGCTTTGTCAATTGTGCTCCTTGCTTTGTGGCTGTTCGCGACATACAGTTGTTTTCCGCAACACACACAAAAAAGCAGAATTTTATAGAAAACTAGCAGGATAACCCGACTTTGACCGGGTCTTTCATAAATGGGAATTTTTGTCGTTCAATTGAAGCAGTTTAAGTTTAAAGTTAGCCTACCCGGAAATCCATATTAGTAACAACATTTGGGTGCAACTGAGGCACATCCCCAAATAGGGGGTGGGTAACAATTGGAATGGGGGGGCCTGAAAAGGAAACTGTATAATAATAATATTATTGTAATAATTTAAACTATTTATTTTTATTAAAAATTTTATGAAAGATATATATCCAAGAATAGATAGTAAACAGTAAAACGTTACTGAGAGTTATAATGGACAGGAAGTAGCGGAGAGCCATTGTTGCCAACAATTTGGACTCAAAACCGGCACTGAAGAATTATCTATGAAACAAAACAAAATCATTAAAATCGGATGAAAACTGTGGTAATGCATAAACATCACACACACACACACACACACACACACACACACACACACACACACACACACACACACACACACGCACATACACACAAGCACATACACGCACACACACACGCACATACACACACATACCTGTCTATATTTCTGAGATGAGGTATTATGTACACTATTTTCATTATTCGGACTATTGTCTTCATCTTTGTCGCCATATTTATTACAACGTTTCGTCCGTTGTACGCTCCGGCCTTCTTCAGATGGTTGGAATGTTGAACTGAACCCTTTATTTCGCTCAATGGGGTAGACTGTTCTAGTTCCAAAAGCCATGTTTAATCGATGTCAGTTATCTGCTGTTAATTCCCCTCCGCAAGTTCTACACTGCCTTAACCGGGTATTGAACTCACACTCTTTAGGACCTTGAGGACACATGACACAGTGGCTAAAGGCGTTGGTTAGATCCAGTGACAGGACCCAAAGAGTGTGAGTTCAATACCCGGTTAAGGCAGTGGAGAACTTTTAGAGGGGAATTAAAAGGAGATAACTGATAACTGACATCGATTAAACATGGCTTGTGGAACTAGAACAGTCTACCCCAGTGAGCGAAATAAAGGGTTCAGTTCGACATTCCAAACATCTGAAGAAGGCCGGAGCGTACAACGGCCGAAACGTTGTAATAAATATGGCGACAAAGATGAGGACAATAGTCCGAATAATGTAAATAGTGTCCACGCACATACATAGACACATTTTGCGAATTATAGATATCAATTTGCTAATACAATATCCAATCTAGATTTCTCCACTCATGTTTATTGCATGCTTTATCTTGCATTCTTTTTGCGAAGAGGTTGATTGTCAGCAATTTTATATAAATAATACATGGCTGACGTATAATTCTCTCAAGTGTTTGTGTTGTTTTTTTTTTTAAACATTTTTCTTCTTTTTTTGAATATCCGAAACGAGATGTTGGTTCATTGATTTTTTTCAGACGACTGATATATATATATATATCTAGCCGATCCCAGTCACGTTAGCGTGAATATCGAACAGAACTTATTAAATCCACATACATATGCAATTCTCATTTCTCTACTGTCTCTGGCCGGTGTCATTCTTCGTTTTCAAGCTTTTGTTTGCTGATTATCGCTGAACTCTATTTTGCACCCACCACCTTCGGCATGGTCTCACATGTTTCAGTTTAAAAGAAACATGCGTTAATGCATAGCGTATATTAGGTAAGTAGACCTGATGGAATCTATAAATCTCCAGATCACACTACAGCCGATGTCAATCCGAAATGATGGCTCGTCTTTGTCACGGACAGTTGGACCCCCACCGACATGTCCGTTGACTTCAGTCTCTATACAACGATTCTCTGTCATCACCATCCTGGATATACTTCCGGTAGTTCAACTCCAGGTCTGGATTTAATCTGAAATTCGTTTTATTTACAGCAAATATAAAACAATTGTTTTTTTTTTCGCTGTGAATGTATGAGCCCATTGTGTGATAGGAATGATTTAAATTCTTTTTTTTTTAACCCGAGTAGATTGAATGTCATAAATGACGACAGTCTATCTGTTCTTCTTTCTTGTCTTTGTAGACATGTGAAATATCGATTATTATTTACATAAAATATCGAGCCTCTCTGTAAAATCTACAGTAGTCTAATGTAACTCTTTTAAAGTGTTGGGATATAAAGGTATCATAAAAAAGAGTTTAAGGTTGCAAGAAAGCTAACCATTTTTATGACCGGGTAAAGTGGCATTAAGTTTAGGAGTCTACGTTCTTCAATTATTAGGGGAACCTTTAAAAATGTGAAAGAAATCAATTTAGCACTATCAGCAGGCCCATCACCAAGCGGTAAGGGTACTGTTCTCCACCCGGGAAAAATGTCAACTAATTTTAGTGCGCAAATTCATAGTTGATCCATGTAAGTGATTGCTGGACAATCAGCCCATTTTGCGTCATGGTTACGTGTCTAGAAGGGTAGGTCACTCGCAAGTAGTGCCGTGCAAAGCGCATGTTGCGTTCACGCATGATTCTAGATTGGTTTGGTTTGGTTTGTTTTACGGCATATGAACCTCAATGGGTTATGTAATGCTGACAACTTTTTTTTTTTCCTGGTAATATTTTGTTTTGTTAAAAATCTATTTCTGGTAATATTTTTCCCCAAAAATGTATAGCTGGTAATATTATTTTTAAAAAATGTATTGCTGGTAATAGTTTTTTTACTTCAAAAATTTATTTCTGGTAGTAATTTTTTACAAAGTTTGTCTGGTATTAAAACCTATATTTACACTTTCATAATGCTTTTTACCTCAGTTTCGAGGTTAACTATTTGCCCATAGCTGGGACCCTAACAGGTGCTACCACCCCGAGTCAGGGTGGACCTGGGAACACCAGCAATTAAGAGGTGGTTCCACGCTCCTCAAAACTTCCTGATCAGAGGTCTTGCTGTTGGACGTAGTTTTTCCTGTTACCCTGGACGTGGATGTAGTTTATCGTCATACCCAGGGCGGGCATGATTGTAGAAATATCAGGGATGGGTCCATAGAACTGTGATTTAGTTCGATGTAAAGCATAGTTCTTTGCACCCGAGTGTAGGTTCCATCAAGCTTAGACTCAAGGTTTTTAGTTAATATCCAAGCAATGACTCAATACATTAAAACCACCTCCACAGTGGCACGAAAGAATCTCCGTTTGAGGTTGTCTGGTAGATCAGATTTGTAGATTACATCCATTTTATTCAATACTAGCTCAAAAGCCACTCTCCGTACGAGCTTTTAAGCTAGCTCCATCAGAGAGCTAATTGGGCCTCCGGCACAAAACTAAAGGGACCTTGGGTCCAGCTTAGAAAACAGCTATGATAATTTTGAAGAAATAATTTTGAATTCCTCAATTCACTCCATGGAATTTCAAGATCTCACTTTAACTCTGATTTGATTATAAGTCAAAAGAACGATTTGGACCAAAATTCCAATTCAAGCCGAAAATTGAGTTCTTCAAATTCCAAATTCCGCGGACCTTCAATTAAGTTGAGTTCTTCAAATCACAAACTCTTTGGAACTTTAATCGTGATGAGTTCTTCAAATTACAAACTCTTTGGAACTTCAATCGTGAAGTTCCTCAGAGTTTGTAATTTGAAGAATTCATCACGATTGAAGTGAGAGGTTTCGTGACGTGAAGTTTTGAAGAACTCATTGCGATGAGTTATTTAAAACGTCACGTCACGCAAACCTTTCACTTCTCCCTATCAAGCATCTGAGAGAACCATTTCTGCCTTCCTGATAACTGATTCTAACCTCTTTTGGGAGCTTGTAATCTTGAAAAAATAAAATGAATTTCTTCAATTTTTTCAAAGTTTTGCAGATATTTTAAACTGAATTTAAAACAAAAAAAATTAACTTCATAAAGTTTTCGTGTTATTTTAAACTCAATATAAATTAAAAACTTTTAAAATGAGAAATTTTTTCAGTTATTTTAAAATTTCTACTTTTAACTATTCCCTCCTCACCCGGCCACAAATCCCAATGATAGATATTCAAGCACCAGCTGAAGGACAGATTTTCAATCCTGGGATCATCCTGATTCCAAAACGGTATATGTCTACGTAGAGTAAGTGTGACCTGAGTTAGAGGCTTTCAGACACATGGACGAACAGACAGAATTTTCCGTTTATTTATTTAGAGAGATGTTATGGCACAGAATGCCAACCTTCCGACCTTGATACAGATCTGTGATGGTTGGCGTAATAGACACATGAATGTCCCCAAATCGAATACAAATATAATTTTTACACGTGATGTTTCTTACTTAAAGGTTGCTCCTCCATTAAACCCGGGCGACGGGCCTATCCGAATTGTTTTTGTCCAGAATCCCAAATTCTTTCAAATGAATAAGAATTAATTTGATGCTAGGGGTTTGCTATTTTCTAATAATAATGAATATTGTATTGATAAGTTTATTGTTTATATACATCTAAATAAATATTTTTATTTAATCTCCAACTAATGCGACATTGCTTTTTAAACAACTAGATATAGAATTTCGATTTTGGCAACTGGAATCATTGAAGGAAACTGTCAAGTTTTCCAAAATTGAAATTGTTTTCTTTCATTCTGCGTTTTCAGTGCTTGTTTCTCTTTTTCGTCTTCTCCTATCTTTCTCCCTCCTCTTCTGTCTTCCTTCCCTTCTCTTTCCTCTCTCCTTCTCCCCCCTTCCCTTCTCTCCACTCCCTTTCATTCTCTTCTCTCTCTTCCCCTCCCTTCTATCCCTCCCTTCTCTCCCCTCCCCTTCTCTCCCCTCCCCTTATCTCCCCTCCCTTTCTCTCTCCTCCCCTTCTTCTCTTCCCCCCTTCTCTCACCTCCCGTCTCCCTCTTCCTTCTTTTTCATTTACTATTTTTGTTCAACACAAAGCGACATGGTGAAAAATCAGGAAGAATAACATAGTGTAATATTCATTCTTTTAATAAAATAGGCCGACCAGCGTTGAAAATCAGCATTCCTAGGTTTTCACCTGGACTTGATCACCGACCCCTGGCACCAGTTAGACACACGTTACTTGGTCATCATTGTGAAAAATTTCAACTACATTAGCCACAAATTAAAGGCATCTCTGTTTTTTTTTCACTTTTGTTGTTTGTTCATTTTTCCCCCAAACCTATTAATGTTTTCAAAATACACACAAAACCTGTTCGTTTATTATTCAGTGATGAAACATTCAAAGTTATTTTTTAAAAGGTACAACCGAATTAACCTCTGTTTCTCAAAACCTATTCACCAAATACCAATATTAACATTATTACTTACCTGAAATATATAAATTCAGGTAACAACTTTCTAGTGCAATTCTCATTTAAAACTTATCAAAATTTTCAACATTACACACCACGCCCATTAACCGATTCTGTACTCTCTCTCTTTCTTTCTCTCTCTCTCTAAATATATATATATATATATATATATATATGTATGTAAATATATGTGTATATATATATATATATATATATATATATATATATATGTATGTGTATATAAATATATCTTATATATATATATATGTATGTGTGTGTATAAATATATATATATAAATATATATATATTTATATATATATATATATGTGTGTGTATAAATATATATTTTATATATATGTGTGTGTGTATAAATATATATTATATAAACATGTATGTGTATTTATAAATATATATATATATATGTTTTGTGTATAAATATATATTATATAAATATGTATGTGTGTGTATAAATATATATTATATATGTATATGTATGTATGTGTGTATAAATATGTATTATACATATATACAGGTATGTGTGTGTGTATAAATATATATATATATAATTTTGCGGATGAGGAGGTTCAAACAATTTACTCGACGATGACAATAGCAACAATTCTGCGCTGCATCTCACATTAAATACATTCAATTTTTTAAAAAGTTAATGAAAGGTTTCTAGGGAAATATTTACCCTATTAATTTGCAGTATATTTCACATGTACAATTTATAGCCGACCGCATATAACTCTTACGGTGTGGCAAGCATTTTATGAATTTTAATGGATTTTGGAAGTTTCATATTAGCGAGTTTACTGAACGACGAAAAAATATTGTAATTAAAATGATAATTTCAGATGATGTGCAATGTTTATATTTACAAATGTTTTCAACAAAGAAATTGAAAAATATTTCATCTTTTTCGTTTAACTTTTGTATAGGCTCATCAATAAGTTTGTAGCCTAAAAATGCATTTATTTTACACAATCAGTTTTTAGCTAATCATCCTTGACAATACTTTTCCCATAAATGGCATCGATTAGTAAACTATTATACAGTAAAACTTTCATATCAAAATTCAGTTAACCCTGCCTGGATAAGATGCGGACTTGAGAAAATCTGTTCAAAAGCAATCCCAAAATAAGGTTGATTCTAAAAACTCAGTTCTACTACATTTTGAGTTTATCTCTTTACAACATTTTAGGCTACTTTTAGAATAAACCGGGCTAACTGGTATCTCAATCAAGCGAAAAAACTTTTGCTTAGATGATAAAAATAAATATCGAATTATAGTGTTTATTAGTGTTAGTTTCATTTTTCAGGAACATCAAAGGCTGTAAAAGTCCTGGGTAAGACAATAAACTACATCCGTGTCCTGAGTAAAACGATAAACTACACCCGCACCCTGGGTAAGACGATAAACTACATCCGCGTCCTGGGTAAGACGATAAACTACGTCCAACAGCAAGGCCTTGGATCAGAAGGTTTTGAGGAGCGTGAAACAACCTCTTAATTGCTGTTCCCAGATCCACCCTGACCCGAGTTGTAGCACCTGTCAGGGTCCCAGCTATGGGCAAATAGTTAACTCTCCAAAAGGGGTTAAAACACTATGAAAGTATAAAAGTAGGTTTTAATACCAGCAATACATTTTTGAAGAAAAAATTATTCCCTGGAATAGATTACCATCAGTACATTTAAAAAAAATAGATTACCAGCAATACATTTTTGGAAGAAAAATATTGACATCAATAAAAATCTTGTCGGCATTAAATAACCCATTGAGGTGTTGATATGCCGTAAAAAGTCTGCAAAGGTGATGTTTGCTAAAACGATCAGATTTGATTATGATCTTGTAACAAACTTTGGAGCTTAATGACGAAGCATATTTCCGTATTAAAATCTGTGACCCGCCATTCGATGCCAATCAACTTGACGTCACCAGAGGTGGGATAAATAGACGCCATCGCGAAATTGTCATTTTCTGTTTTCTCCTATTGTCTGCGAACAACGGGGTTCGTGTGAGGTTTTGGCAATTAATCTAAAAGAGTTCGATTGCGACTGCCTGGACTGAAAGTAAAATAAATTAGATTAGATAAAACAGAAGTCAGCAATTGTATGTCCCACCCGATGGGTCATTTTAATAAAATAAAAATTATATTTTCGTCATTGTATTTTGGTTCCAAAATGAAGTTATTTATGACTCAATGAATTTGTCAGGCCTTTTGTTTTTGCTGCGTGTCCTCTGGTCTACATTGTTCTTTCTGTTTGAAAATTCTGCGATAAGCGGTTATCATTATTGACACTATTTACATACGGACTGTTGTCCTCATCTTTGCTGTTTTCATCACAACGTTTCAACCTTTATACCCTCCGATCTTCATCAAAGATATTTCAATCCGAGTAACCCTAAGGGAATTCCTTTATTTAATCTACGTGTGTAGGAAGTTCTCCTTCCAGTACTCTGTAGGTTACCCGGGTCGACGTACACTTGATGAAGACCGGAAGGTAGAACCGTCGAAACGTTTTGATGGCAACAGTAAAGATGAGGACAGTAGTTCACGTGTAAATTGTGTTAATAATGATAACTCCTCATCTGTAACTAAGGTCCGTTCAGCATAGTCGCAGTATAAACGACAGGCGGGCTCTGTGGGTGTTCACATGTTAACTCAAGCCTTGTGAATGAAATTGGGTAGCCGGAACTATTTGGGAGCCGTCAATGGTTGTGCTAGCACTAAGACACAAGTCATCGTGACCGAGAGTTTGAGCGTACTGACCTTGTTCACGCTGTTGATCACGCCAGATAATTTGCTCTCTCCCATAAACTATAACTAAAGTCTGCTCAGCTTAGTTGCAGTATAAACGACAGGTGGAAACTGTGGGTGTTCAAATGTGCCTGAGCAGTCCTCTTCAAGAGGGATTGACTAGACGCCTTAGTAGACAGGCAGACTCGTCCAGTCACCACAATATAAATACACTCAGATTCATGTATATCAAGATAGTAAGGCAAAAGAATTAAAAACAAGAAATGAAGAAATTTCATTACTTTTTACTCTTCTGTATCTGTAACAAAGAATTACGTCCTTCTGATGCTTTCACTGTCAAAGGTCGCATTTAGTACGCTGTTTACTGTATAGCAACAGCAAACTATATTTGTCACACTTAAGTAATAGTTAAAAATACTTTGGGCTCACTTATATCACATCTTCGACGTATATTGTTAGAAACTCAATGAAATAGTAAATAAAACGCCTGCGTCAAATGATATTCAGATTAAAATAATATCAGACATCGCCATTTTTACGCATGCGTGAGAGATGTTGGTAGTGCAACGGTAAGCGATCCGGAAAGTGAAATCAGCGCGTTGAGTTCAAATTGATCGCTAACGTCGGGAAAGGTACGAATCCATCTCTTTTCCCACGTATGGGTTAAATAGCAGGATAGACTGGGCTCTCTCGCCTTGAGGTTGTAACCAGTCTAACTCTGAATTCAAAACCAGCCCTAAGAATGATGGGCTCCGTCAGGCTATCTTGTTCTAGACGCACCATTGTTGGTAATGCTGCAGTACATATTGTACCTCTGAGATCCGAAACGGGCAAACACATACACGAGAAATATGTTACGAGATATGAATGCCGTATTCATAGAAATTTATACGGTAACACGGATCTAGACTGACATGTTTGCATTTTAAACAAATACAATTGACACATTTTTAACGTGACCAGCGTTAAAATGAAAATTTTGATCTTTTAGCCAACAATCTAATACTATAGTTGCGTATCTGTGTAAGCCGTTGTTGAATAAAAATCTACCAGAGACAATGAATATAAATAATTGATTGTCTTATTTCACTGTGTCGTTTTCAGAAGTATAGGAGGAAAAATTGAGGTTTGATCTAGTTTTTCTTCGGGTTCAGATGTCAAGTAAAATATGTTAACATGTGTTGACTTGAAGCATTTGTCTTTAGTAGAAACAATATCTTGTAATATGCAGGGTGACAATGAAATATCTGTATATTTTTGTAAAAATTCCTAAAAAAATAGAAGAAAAAATCAAGACAATTCTACTGGTTCCATTGGAAAACATAGGTAAACAAATGCAGTTTTATTCAAACATATCAGAACACTTCCATATGAACTCCATTGATTGCACGCAACATATTTAGACGACACAATTTCTGTTTTCTCCAAGACACTTTTGTTTCCATAAACTTCTTGTTTTAGGCACAGTGTTTCTTTTCGCCTCATACTTTGTACTGCAGTGTCCAATTTGGTCTATATGAACCAAGGTACACATTTTTGGTCTCTATGAATCAGGGTACATAATTGGTCTCTATGAACCGGGGTACACTTTTGGTTTTTATGAACCGGGGTACACATTTGGTTTCTATGAACCAAGGTTCACATTTGGTCTCTATGAAACAAGGTACACATTTGGTCTCTTTGAATCAGGGTAAACAATTGGTCTCTATGAACCAGGGTACACATTACAGGATACACATTGCTTTCTCCCCCCCCCTCTCTCTCTCTCATTTTCATTAAAACCCGAGCATCAATAATAAGCAATTTTAACGTGTATTTGCGAGGATAACCGAATGGGAATTAAAAAAGATCTATATGTGAATTAAAA